TCTTCAATTTAAATTTTACGAAAAAAAAACGATGTCAATTATTACAAAATCCGCAAATGTTGTCGGATTTTTATTAGTAGTAACTATAGCTGTCATTCTAGTGCTTCAAAATTTAAGTTATTTTCAAAACAGTAATAATCAAAATACAGAAAGCAAAAATGCGACTGAAACTTATCTTGCACCCGCAGTATTTACATTCGGGATTTGGTTTTTGATTTTACCGTTACTTCTTGGTTTCATTATTTACCAATGGTTCGAAGGTGAAGATGGTGCTGTAGATAGAGGTGTTTCATATTATTTCTTTTGTCAAGCTATTTTGAATGTTGTCTGGCTGATTTTATGGGTAAATATATTATTATTCGGTATTATTATTCTGTATTATTATTCTGTATTAAAAAATTCTAAAAAATTCAAATGATTTAATTTTTTTATTTTATTGTTTTTATTAGGAATTTGCTCTTTATCTTGCAGTTGCAATTGTACAATTGATCATCCTCATATTGTTTTTCATAATATATTTCAACCTCATAACCCATTACGAACCTAAAGGAATTGAGAGCATCTGCCTCGTTTATCCATTTTCAATATTAACTCCCTGGAATTTATATGCTTTATTCCTTGAAATTTGGATTGCCATTCCAGCGCTTAATACTGTTATTTTAACTGTTATCGTTTTAGTTTTGCTAACAATTTTTGGTTTATATTTTGTTGATTATTGTTGGAGACGTGATAATCTTTTTGCTTTTGCTATTATCTGGGTATTAGTTGGTATTGCTGTTAATAATGTTGAAAATATGCCTGTGTATGCAACTGCTTTGGCTGGAATTGGATTAATTAGTGGCGGCATTTTTAGAAATTGGTTTAGTTTTACAAAAGACTGGCGTAGTAGCGTGGATTTCATTGAAACTGGTGGTGGTTCGGCATATGAGCCATCTTTCGCTTTCAGAAATTATAGAACTGATCAACAATATGGTTCAAGTGGCCCTCATATGCCAGAAATGTATGGTAGACAGTAAACGTATGTACATACGCACATAAATTTATGTAGCCTTTTCGCTTAAATCAATGCTTTTATAACTGAAAGAATTTGAATGATATACGTACTGTATTTATGTATACTGTATTTATTTATCTAAGATGTTCTTTTATTTAATTTATTTAATGACAATTATCGTTATATACATATATATATTAACACTTCAAAAATTATGAATTTACTGCTCTTAAAGTTTTAATTATTATCTTGATGCAGTATTATGATTGGAAGTGATTCAATTTAGCTCTGATTGTGAATTAAGAGTTCTGTGCTTTTAATATTCGGAATATTAGGGTAATATTAAACTTGAATTCATGAGTAATATAATTTTATAAACTTTCTTGCGTACGTATGTACATACGAAAAATATAGTTAGAGCTAAAAAAAAAAATAAATAAATAAATAATGCGATTTTATATATTAGATGTAGGGTTTAGGGCATGCCCTTGTCGTGTGATATATAAAGTGTACTTTGATTGGTTAATAAGGTTTGATAATGACAGAAATGTAGATACTAAATCAACATATGAAGTTTTTTAGAATGTTATGAACTTGCGAGCTATATGGCAGTCACATGATTTAGAAAGGACATCCCCATGGGCATGAGGGGCATGCCTTGTCTCAACTCAAGGTATGCCTAATTTTTTTTGTGTGCCCAAACCCTAATTAGATATAACAAAGTATACTGTATCGAGATTAGACTGCTTTGTTTAATTTATTTATATTTAAGCGTACTTTGCAAAAGAGACCAATTTTTTTTGACTACAGTAAATTAATATAGGCCTGACTACTTTAAACGAGATAAATTCATTGGACAATTGATAAAAGATCATTATTAAATTTATTGTTAAATTTCATTTAATTAAAAAATAATAATAATAATGCAGATAAGTAAAGCTTTTTACAATTAAAATCAAATAAAATCAAATAAAGCTGCTCAAATTGCAAAATTAAATATAAAAATAAATACTATTAATAATTAATCAGAATTATTTTAACAAAAATTCAAAAAATTTAATTGC